AATTGGAAGGCACCAACGGACTCAAGCATTCTGGTGATTGTGAGGATGGTGTGTCCCCACATTATGTCCCCCAAAAATATGTATTGTAAATCCTAATCCCTATACTTCTGGTTATAATCCCATTTGGGAGTGGGTTTTCTTTGTCATGTTAATGACACAGTATTAGTGCAGGGTGTGTCTTCAGTCGATCTCTTTTGTAACCACTGCACCACCAGGGCTCTTTCTTTTGAGATATAAAAGGAGCAAATTACCCAAGCAGAGATGGGGGGAAGATAGATACCATGCCACATGAAGATCACCAAAGAGCCAGGGCACAGAAGATGAAAAGAGACAAGGACCTTCACCCAGAATCAACAGGGAGAAAGCCTTCCCCTAGAACCAAACTAAAAAAATCCAAACCCATTGCCGTCAAGTCCATTCTGACTCATAGCGACCTTCTAGGACAGAGCAGAACTGCCCCATAGGGTTTCCAAGGCTGTAACGTTTACTGAAGCCGACTGCCACATCTTTCTCCTGCGGGGCAGCTGGTGGGTTCAAACTAATGACTTTCGGTTAGTAGCTGAGTATTTAACCACTGTGCTACCAGGCCTCCTTTCCCTAGAGCCGGTACCTTGAATTCAGACTGCTAGCCTCCTAACCTGTGAGAAAATAAATTTCTGTTTGTTAAAGCCACCCACTTATGGTATTACTGATATAGCAGCACCAGATAACTAAGACAGCTTTGGACTGGGCAGCATTTCATTCTGTTGGACATGGGGTCTCCATGAATTGGAGCTGACTCAATGGTAACAAGCAATAACATGCTTCCTAAAGGAGATGACACCGTACTTGGACCTTCAGGGATGGCTAGGCAGAGGACACAGCCGTAGTCGATGTGGAGGGTACAGGTATCTTTCCCCCTCTGAACTCTAATTTCTCACCCTCTCTGTTCGAAAATAGATTCAGATACATTTCCAGGTAAATCCTTTGCTGTCTGAACTTTAACTACTCACTAACCCAAAGCAGTAAACAAACAGAAGAACTTGGGATCCTTCAGTTTCTGAACCTGCTAGCAGAGCTGTTGTTGTTGGTAGTTGCCATTGAGTTGGTCATCCCTCTAAGGCCCAAGTCACTTTCTACCTTGAACGAGGGTAACTGTGTCCACAGATAAGTCAGACGCAGTCTCAACCCTTGAGGAGTGCCCGGCCGGGTAAAGAAACAGAGCTGGACACTAATTAGATTCTTGGGGATGGTGAGGTGTCACCAAGAAGCTGACAGAGGCATGGAGGAATTTGTCATAGACTTTATTAACTAAATTTCTTTTCCTTTTCTCTTCCACATCCCAAATCCACACCGCTACTGCAGCAAGAGCCTTCGGTTTTTCCTGTACATATAAGCCCTGGCCAGAAAGAAATAGTCCGGAGGTTAGAAAAAGAACTTCAGGCTTCTCCCTATCAACCGACCCCCAAACTCCCCTACAATCATTAGCCTGATTCGACTCAGCCTATCAGGAGGTGCCAGTGACATCATGGGTTTCTGGGCAGATTTCTGGGGTTCTCAACCAATCAGTGTTGGTGCATGAGGAGGGAAGCGGCAAAAAGATGGGACTAGTAGGAGCTCTGCCCGCGCAAGGGTTAAACGCTTAGAGGAGTTCTGCTGGCGTATGGTTAAGCGCTTGGCTGCTAACTGAAGGGTCAGTGGTTCGAAACCACCTGCGGCTAAGCAGAGGAAAAGACCTGGCGATTACCTCCCATAAAGACTTCAGCCTAGGAAACCTTATGGGGGCAGGTCTACTCTGTCCTATAGGGTCGCTATGAGTCGGAAGTGACTCCATGGCACCCACCAGCAAGAGTGAGGGAAACATGTGGGGGCAGAGAGAGTCTAAGAGGACACGGGGAGACTCTGAGAGACACAGACATAGGGAGAGAGACACAAACAGAAGAGAATGACAGAGGTGGAGAGGAAGGAGGGAGAGACAGAAGCTGGGAGACAAGCAAGGAGGGAGTCAGAGATGGATGGAGGAGTGGCTGGAGGGCGACAGGGATTCCAAGTGGAAGAGACCCACAGAGAGAGGTTCTGCGATACAGAGAGACTGACAGAGTAGAACTGCCCAATAGGGTTTCCCAGGCTCTAGTCTTTACAGAAGCACATTGCCAGGTCTGTTCTCCCGCGGAGCGGCTGATGGGTTCATACTGCCCACCCTTCAGTTAGCAGCCCAGTGCTTAACCACTGTGCCACCAGGCTCCTTGAGACGGAGAGAGCTTGGGCAAGAGGCTGAGGGGGAGAAAAGCAGAATTCAAGACAGCGAAGTCCAGAGATGACAGAGGGGAAGACAGCGACAGAAGTGAGAACCAGAGGCAAGGGAGAGAGATTCCAACACAGAGGAAGGGAAGAGAGAACTGTGGGAAGGAGAGGAGAGCCTGGGAGGGGTGGGGGGGGGTAGGTGGCCACAGAGGGGCTGCTCTGTGTCTGTAGGTGGGAGGACAGAGACCCAGACATAGTGTTATGGATTGAGCTGTGCCCCCTAAAAAGTTATGTTGAAGTCCTAACCCCTGTACCAGTGAATGTGACCCTGTTTGGAAATAAGGTTTTTCTCCTGTTATGTTAACCAGGTTATCCTGGAGTAGGGTGAGTCCTAAACCTAATCCCCTTTTAGTGGTGTCTTATAAAAAGGGAAAACAGACAGACACACACACACACACACACACACACAAGGAAGTGACCACATGAGGAGCCGTCTATAAGCCAAGGAATCAAGGAATGCACAGGGCTACGACAAGGAAGGAAGGAGCCCTGGTGGCACAGTGATTAAGCGCTTGGATGTTAACTGAAAGCTCAGCCATTCGAACCCACCAGCTGCTCCGTGGAAGAAAGATCTGGCAGTCTGCTCCCATAAAGATTACAGCCTGGGAAACCCTATGGGGCAGTTCTACTCTGTTCTACAGGGTCGCTATGAGTTGGAATCGACTCAACGGTAACCGGTACCAACAAATAAGGGCCCTCCCCTAGAGCAGATGCTCTGGTTTACTCTTCTATCCTCCAGAACTGATGGGAGTGGTAGACATAGAGGGATGGAGAGATGGAGGGAGAAGCAGGCTACGAGACAAGGGAGAAGGAGAGTGGCAAGAGGAAGAGAGACAGAGAGGGAGAAATTGAGGCAGAGAGGAAGAGACACCTTTGATGAGGCAGGCAGAAAGAGGAAAAGGGAGGAAGAGAACAGATTGAGCTGGAGGCAGAGACCAGACACACAGGCAGGCAGACAGACCTGGGGAATAAGCTGCCAAAGAAGGGATGACAACGGGAAAGAGGGATGGGCAGACAGACACAGAGCCCGATGGAGATGCAGAGACAAGGAGAGAGGCCCAGAAAGAAAATGAGGAGGAGGAGAGATAAACAGAAGGAACAGGGAGAAATAAAAGGGAGGGAGGGAAAGAGAAACAGAGAAACCGAAAGCCAGTTGACATTGAGTCAACTCTGACTCATGGCAACCCTATGTGTGTCAGAGTAGAACTGTGCTCCACAAGGTTTTCAAGAGCTGATTTTTTGGAAGTAGATGGCCAGGGCTTTCTTCTGAGGTGCCTCTGGGTGGGCTCGAACCTCTAACCTTTTGGTCAGCAGCTGAGTACTTAACTGTGCACCATCCAGGGACAGGAGTATCTGCCAATGCAGAAAACCAAAACAAACAAACTAGTTGCCATCAAGTCAATTCTGACTCATGGTGACCCCATGTGTGTCAGAGTACACCTGTGCTCCATAGGGTTTTCAGTGACTGATTTTTCAGAAGTAGATCACCAGGCCTTTCATCCAAGGCACCTCTGGGTGGACTCAAACCTCCAACCTTTCGGTTAGCAGCTGAGCTCTTCACCATTTGCACCACCAGGGACTCTAGAGAGAGAGAGAGAGAAAGAGGGTGGGAGAGAAACACACAAGAAGAGAGCAAGAGACAGACAGGCAAAGACATATTAAGAGAGAGACTGGGGAGGAGGAGGCTCTGAAAGAACACAGAGGCAGGTCACTTCAGGGACTTCGCGGAGGGCAGGGCTGACTCACGAGAACACGATGACCATGAAGAGGAAGAGGGCCAGAAACACAGAGATGGTGATGCCAAATGCAGCCTGGTCCCACGGGTACTTACTCCGGGTGTTGTACTGCAGGGCCATGCGGGGCTGCCGGTTGACTGGGGTGGGTGGGGAGACAGCCCCAACCACAAAGTAACTACCCTTCCTTGGCCTTCCATCCTCACCCCACCTGCTCCCTCTGCAGCCCGAGGCAGGGTGCAAGTTCTCTCTCTCTCTCCCTTCTTGGGGCTTGATAATGCCCTTCCCCCTCCTGGGATCTGCTCTCTCTCCAGGCATTCCTCAAATTCTGAGTCCCAGGCACTGTTCTGGGGATACAGCTATGAAGTTACAAAATTTCAGAGCAATATGCCTCATGAACATAGATGCAAAACCCCAACAAAAATATTAGCAAATACAATCCAACAATGTATAAAATGAATTACATACCATGGCCAAGTAGGATTTATCCCAGCAATGCAAGGCTGGGAGTGAGGGGAACAGTGTGATAGAGAGGGAACAGTATGTGAAAAGGTCCAGAATAGCATTTAATTTTGATGGATATATGGGGGTTCATTGAACTATTCTTTCTGCTATAAGGATATACTGGAACTTGTAAAATAATTTTTAAAAATCTCTAAATGGATGAATGAGTGAATTCAGCATATTCTTCCGGATTCCCCAGGTATGGCACTGGCTGAAAGGAAAACTTTTTTTTCTAGCACCTACCATTCTGGCATTAGGGGCATTATAAAGTTAAGGAGGAATCTTGCCATTTAATTGTGGGGGGGCGAGGGAGGAACACACCCAGAATGTGGAAGTAATTTCTGGACCACACTGTAAGCAAGTGGAGAGGGCAGGATTCAAGGCTACATATGGGAGACCTCAAAACCCATATTCACTGGGATATGGTTGTCTTCATCCCTCACGCACCTGTCCTGTGTCTCCTCTACCCCAGGACCTTACCGAAGCAGTAATCATATTTGATACATTGGGGAATGATCTTCTGGCAAAGGAAACAGTCCAAGACCTCTTCTTGTAACACGTCTGGATAGGGGGAAAGAGGAAAAGGGTGAGGGCGGCTCTCAGGATGGTCAAGGGGTAGAAAGGAAGGAGGAGAAAGAAAAGATGGGGTCCCTTGGCCCTGTTGATGTTGGAGGTCCCATTCTACTGCAGAGAACCCTGGTTACTGGGTGGTGCAAACAGTTAATGTGCTCAGCTGCTAAGTGAAAGGTTGGCAGTTCGAGTCTACCTAGAGGCTCCTCGGAAGAAAGGTCTGGCAATCTACTTCCAAAAAATCAACTCCTGAAAACCCTATGGAGCATAGTTCTACTCTGACACACATGGGGTCACCATAAGTTGGAAATGACTTGATGGCCACTGGTTTTTAAACTGGTTACTCCACCACAGAGCAAGCTGAGCAAAATGCACTGACAATTCACATTAAAAATAATTTTTATGTAATTATTGAGTCATTGAATTGAGTTGCAGTTGTCTAGTTGACACAACATTCTGTTTGTAGGCATTTAAATATTTGTCCATTTTGATTTTGCAGTTTTCTATTCTGATTTTGGAGTCCCTGGGTGGTATAAATGGTTAATGTGCTTGGCTGCTAACTGAAAGGTTGGAGGTTCAAGTCCTCCCAGAGGTGCCTCGGAAGAAAGGCCTGGCGATCTACTTCTGAAACCCATTGTTGTTGAGTCTATTTGGACTCACAGTGACCCTACAGGACAGAGTAGAACTGCCCCATAGGGTTTCCAAGGTGTAGCTGCTGAATTTGACCTGCCGACCTTTTGGTTAGCAGCCGTAGCTCTTCACCACTGCACCATCAGGGCTCCCCTACTTCTGAAAGATCACAGCTATTGAAGACCCTATGGAGTTTAGCTCTACTCTGACACACATGGGGTCTGCCAGGAGTCAGAATTGACACCACGGCAACTGGTTTGGTATGTCTATCTTGGTGCCCCCTTGTAGCAGAGTGGCTAAATACTGACTCATCTGTCTTTTCAGCCTGTGCGCACAGGAAGACTACATTTCCCAGGCTCCTGTGTAGTAGGTTGCAACCATGTGACTGAATTCTAGCCAATAGAAAGTGGGCAGAGTGATGTGTGCCATTCCACGCCTGGCCATAAAACTCCCTGTGTGAGTCCTTATTCTTTCTCTTCTGAAGCAAGGTTGGATTATACAAAATGAGGGCAGCCTGGATCCCTGAGTCACCACTTGGTAAACCACTCAGCTCATAATGGAATTTGCATGAGACAGAAATAAACCTTTGTTGTGTTGAACCAGGGAGATGTGGGGGTTGTTACTACAGCATAGCCTATCCTATCCTGACTTACACAGCCTGCAAGTTGCAACCAATTTCATAAACTCTCAAAAAGCAGACGTCCCCCTAGGTACCATGGCTTTGGGGTAGGTAGACCACCGAATGGAGCAGGTGTGATAGCAGGGCTTGATTTGGGGGAGATAGGGTCAGGAGGAGTAGGAGGGTAGAGAAGGGAGGGATAGACAATAAATCCAGAACTCACGGCAAATTTTGGGATGGCAGGCTGCAAGAGAAAAGAGCTGAGGTGAGTTAGGTTGAGGCAACAATTTGATAATTTAATTAGGAAGGGACTGGGAGAAGGAGAGTGAGAGGGTGAGTCTGGGAAAGGAGAGAAGAGAATACTGGGGAGAGATGATGTAGGCTGAGTCACAGGGGAGCTGAGGCAGGAGTCTGGGAGGAAAAATGGGAGAGGGGATCGAGGGACCCATAGGGAAAGAAGCTCAGTGGAGAGATGGGGCTGCACCTTTTAATTCATATTCTTTCAAAACTTTCTTGAGTTCCAGGAGCACATTCTGCCTAAAAGTCACCAGCTGTTCCATCAGTGGCTCATCTGAGGAGAGAAAGAGACCCTTATGGGGGAGGAGGCAGCCAGCAAGCATGTGCCACCTGCAGTTTCCAAGAGAAGGGACTAGGAAACTCCTCTTCATTTACCAGGTATCTTAGTCTCCTAGTGCTGCCATAACAAAATACTATGAGTGGCTTTCAAGAACAGAAACTTATTTTTTCATAGTTCAGGAGGCTAGAAGTCCAGATTCAGGGCTTCAGCTCTAGGGGAAGGATCCTGTTTGTATCTTTCAGCTTATAGTAGCTGTGGGCAGTCCTTGGTGTTCCTGTGCTTGTGGATGCCTCTGCTTCCATCATCATATGGAGTCCTCCCTCTGTGTGTGCCTGTCTCCCTGTCTATTTTCACTTTTTATAAAACACCACTCAGAAAGGGTTAGATTTAGGACCCACCTGACTCGGGTATGACCCCTTTAACATAACCACAAAACATTATTTCCACAAAGGATCACATTCACAGGTAGAGGGATTAGGACTTCAGCATACGTTTTAGGGGGGACACAATTCAATCCATAACACCAGGCGTGACCAAGACCAGGTATTACTCATGGTCCACTGGGAAAATCCATGGCCTGGGAGATCTAGTTTCTGATCCACTGTGGGGCCTCTGGCTACTCAGCCATCCTCCCTTGGCCTCAGTTTCTGAATCTGGTAAATGGGAGGAGGGTGAGCTTGATAAACTCTTCTTTTCTCTTCCCGTCCCTTCCATTCATTTCTCTTCCCTTCCCTTCTCTTCATTTTTCTCTTTTCTTCCTTTACTTTCTCTTCTCATTTCTATTCTCTTCTCTTCCCTTCCCTTCCTTTCCCCTCTCCTCTCTATCTACACCCACTCCTTCATTATTTCAATCCATCCTCATGGCTATATTTCCAAGTACTAAGATTTTGGGGTGGGGGAACCACCAAATGGAGTAGGGCTTGATTTGGGGGAGATAGGGCAAAGAGGTGTAGGAGCCACTGACTTAGGGACCCTATTAAAACCTAAGTCAGCTCACCTTACTCTTCTGCTCAGAACCCTCCCATGTAACCTAGAATAAAAGCCCAAAGTCCTTACAGTGACCTATAAGACTCTGTACTACCTACCCATCCCTTTGCCCTACCCCCAGGACATCATCCCCCACCCCTCTCCCTCTCAAGCACTCCACTCCAGCCTATCTAGCCTTCTTGCTGCTCTGTGAATATGCCAAACATAGTTCCATCTCAGGGTCATTGCACTGTTGTTTGTTCTGCTGCAACCTTCTACCCCTAGATACCCACATGGCTGCTTTTCTCTCTCCTTTGGGTCTTTGTTCACATGCTACCTTTCCAGCAACACCTTTCTTGACTTCCCTGTTTTAAACTGCAACAACCTCCCTCCCCTACTCCAAACACTCCCAATCACCTGGTCCCTGCTTCCTTGTTTTTTCCATAGTACTTCTCGCCATTTCCCATATTATATTGGTGCGGTAAAGGGGAGCCCTGCTGGCGCAACGTTTAAGCGCTCAGCTGCTAACTGAAAGGCTGGCGGTTTGAACCCTCCTGGTGGCTCCGTGGGAGAAAGACTTGGTGATCAGCCTAGGAAACCCTATGGGGCAGTTCTACTCTGTTATATAGGTCACTATGAGTAGGAAGCGATCCATATTTGTGCCCATTCCAAAGAAAGGTGATCCAACAGAATGCAGAAATTATTGAACAATGTCATTAATATCACACCCAAGTAAAATTTTGCTGAAGATCATTCAAAAATGGTTGTAGCGGTACATTGACAGGGAACTGGCAGAAATTCAAGCCCGATTGAGAAGAAGACATGGAACAAGGGATGTTACTGCTGATGTCAGATGGATCTTGATTGAAAGCAGACAATACCAGAAAGATGTTTACCTGTGTTTTATTGACTATGCAAAGGCATTTGACTGTGTGGATCATAACAAATTATAAATAACATTGCGAAGAATGGGAATTCCAGAACACTTAACTGTGCTAATGAAGAACCTGTACATAGACCAAGAAGCAGTCTTTCAAACAGAACAAGGGGATACTTCATGGTTTAAAATCATAAAGGTGTGCATCAGGGTTGTATCCTTTCACCATGCTTATTCAATAAGTATGCTGAAGCCAGACTATATGGCAAAGAACAGGGCATCAGGATTGGAGGAAGACTCATTAACAAACTTGAATATGTAAATGATACAATCTTACTTGCTGAAAGTAAAGAGGACTTGAAGCACTTACTAACGATGATCAAAGAATACAGCCTTCAATATGGATTCCACCTCATAAAAAAGAAAACAAAAATCCTCACAACTGGACCAATAAGCAACACCATGATAAACGGATAAAATACTGAAGTTGTTAAGGATTTCGTTTTACTTGAATCCACAATCAACGCCCGTGGAAGCAGCAGTTAAGAAATCAAACAATGCATTGCATTGGGCAAATCTGCTGCAAAAGACCTCTTTAAAGTGTTAAAAAGCAAAGATGTCACTTTGAGAACTAAAGTGCACCTCACCCAAGCCCTGGTATTTTCAATCACCTCATATGAATGTGAAAGCTGAATAATGAACAAGGAAGAGCGAAGAAGAATTGATGCCTTTGAATTATGGTGTTGGCGAAGAACATTGAATATACCATGAACTGCCAGAAGAACAAACAAATCTGCCTTGGAAGAAGTACAGCCAGAATGTTCCTTAGAAGCGAGTATGGTGAGACTCCATCTCATGTACTTTGGACACGTTATCAGGAGGGACAAGTCCCTGGAGAAGGACATCTTGCTTGGTAAAGTAGAGGGTCAGCGAAAAAAGAGGAAGATCCTCAATGAGATGGATTGACACAGTGGTTCCAACAATAGGCTCAAACATAGCAAGGACTGTGAGGATGGTGCAGGATGGAGCAGTGTTTCATTCTGTTGTATACTGGTTTGCTCCGAGTTGGAATCCACTCAACAGCACCTAATAACAACCACAACATGAGTTGGGATCAACTCGATGGCACCCAACAACAACATTGTGTAGTAAAGGGTTAACTCAGCAGGCCTGAGTTGTCCACACCCTGCACATTCCAAACAAAGGTTTAGCCCTTGTCTGACTCCTGGGAGATAACCTCTAAGCCCTTGGAATCTCCTACCTGTTAAGAATGTCTTTGTTTACCTGGGGGCCTTGGGCCAAGACAGGTAGTCTATGTTGTTGTTGTTGTTAGGTGCCCTCGAATTGATTTTCGACTCATAGTGACCCTACGTGACAGAGTAGAACTGTCCCATAGGGTTTTCTAGGCTGTAATCTTATTTATTTTTTATTGTGCTTTAAGTAAAAGTTTACAATTCAAGTTACTTTCTCAAACAAAAATTTATACACACATTGTTATGTGACCCTAGTTGCTCTCCCTATACTGTGACAGCACACTCCTCCTTTCTGCCCCTGATATCCTGTGTCCATTCAACCAGCTCCTGACCTTCTCTGCCTTCTCATCTCACCTCCGGACAGGAGCTGCCCATTTAGTCTCATCTATCTACTTGAGCTAAGAAGCACACTCTTCACGAGTATCATTTTATGTCCCATAGTTCAGTCTAATCTTTGTCTGAAGCATTGTCTAGGCTGTGATCTTTACAGGAGCAGACCGCCAGGTCTTTTCCTGCAGAGCCACTGGTGGGTTTGAAATGCCAACCCTTCGGTTAACAGCCAAGGGCTTCATCATTGTGCCACCAGGGCTCCTTTGTCTATGCTAACAATGTGATTTATGGTGGGGGCTTTTGTTACACAGTATCAGCTTGACATCTGGAGGGGCTAGAGACTAAGGTCAGCCACACAGGTGGTCAGGTATGTCTACATGACTGACCCCCAGTAGAAACCCTAGCTACCAAGGCTTGGGTGAGCTTCCCTGGCTGGCAATACTCCTTGTGTGTTGTCACACATTGTCTTAGTTATCTAGTGCTGCTATAACAGAAATATCACAAGTGGATGGCTTTAACAAAGAGAATTTGATTCTTCACAGTTTAGGAGGCTAGAAGTCCGAATTCAGGGCTCCAGGGGAAGGCTTTCTCTCTCTGTCGGCACTGGGGGAAGGTCCTTGTCATTAATCTTCACCTTGTCTAGTAGCTTCTCAGTACCGGGACCCCAGGTCCAAGGGATGCACTCTGCTCCCAGCTCTGCTTTCTTGGTGGTAGGAGGTTCCCCTATCTCTCTACTGGCTTCTCTCTTTTATAGCTCAAAAGAGATTGACTCAAGACACAACCTAATCTTGCAGATTAAGTTCTGTCTCATTAACATAACTGCCTCTAATCCTGCCTCATTAACATCACAGAGGTAGGATTTACAACACACAGAAAAATCACATCAGATGACAAAATGGTGGACAATCACACAATACTGGGAATCACGGCATAGCCAAGTTGATATACATTTTTGGGGGACACAATTCAATCCATAACACACATGTTGCTGGAAGAATTAAGCATTGTCCTTATGATTCCATTGCGAGAGGACAACTGGAAGCTCGCACTTGGTCTCTCCTTTTCTATATGCCTTTTTCCATTGCTGATTTTTATCTCTTCACTGTGATGAATCGTAACTGAGTATAACAGCTTTGCTGTGTTCTGAGTCCTTCTAGTGAATCATTGAACTTGAGGGTGGTCTTGGGGACCCTGAACACACATATATTTTATGGCTTTGTTTCCTGTCTAACTCTCCCTCTAGCAGATAAACTCCACAATGGTAGTGATTTTAGTTTGCTTTATTCACTGGAGTATCTCCAGCTACTACAATAGTGGCAAGCATAGAGTGCCTAGCATATAGTAGGTGCTCAATAGATATTTGTAGAATGAATGAATTCAATGACTTTTTAAGCACCATGTCAGCTAAACGCCTCTAACGACGTAAGTGTGTCTTAGTTATCTAGTGCTGCTATAACAGTAACACCACAGTGGTGGCTTTAACAAACAGAAATTTATTTTCTCACAGTTTGTTGCTGTTGTGTGCCGTCGAGTTGATTCAGACTCATAGCAGCGAGAAGTCCCAACTCAGGGCACTGGCTCTAGGGAAAGGCTTTCTCTCTCTGTTGGCTCTAGAGGAAGGTGCTTGTTATGGATTGAATTGTGTCCCCCCAAAATATGTGTTGTAAATCCTAACTCTATGCCTGTGGTTATAATCTCACTTGAGAATGGGTTGTCTTTGTTATGTTAATGAGGCAGGATTAGTATAGGGTGTGTCTTGAGTCAATCTCTTCAAGAAACAGAGATGGCGCGCTGGGCGGGAGGGGGGTGGGTGCGGAGAGATGCCAAGCCACATGAAGATCGCCCAGGAGCAGAAGCTCAGAAGAGACAAGGACCTTCCCCCCAAAGACAACAGAGAAAGTCTTCTCCTAAAGCCAATGCCCTGAATTTGGATTTCTAGCCTCCTGAATTGTAAGAAATTAAATTTCTGTTTGTTGAAGCTACCCACTTGTGGTATTTCTGTTACAGCAGCTCTAGATAACTAAGACAGTCCCTGTCTCTTTTCAGCTTCGGTTCCTAGGTTCCTTGGTGATCATGTGGCCTGTATCTTCCTCTACCCCTTTGTTTGTGCTTGCTTGCTTGATTTGCTCTTTTATATCTCAAAAGAGATTGACTTAAGACACTACACTAATACTGCCTCATTAACATAACAAAGGCAACCCACTCCCAAATGGGCTTATAAACTACAAGTATGGAGGCCTGGTGGCTCAGTGGTTAAGAACTACAGTTACTAACCAAAAGGTTGGCAGTTTGAATCCACCAGCCGCTCCTGGGAAACCCTATGGGGCAGTTCTACTCTGTCCCATAGGGTCACTATGAGTTGGAATCGATGGCAACGGGTTTGGTTTGGTTTTTGGTTTATAGGGGCTAGGGTTTACAACACATATTTGGGGAGGACACAATTCAATCCATAACAAAGTGCTATTTGTAGCACTGCAGGTCATGCTGTGTGAGGTGGTGGTTAGGAATACAATGTCTGAGCCGAATGTCCCAGGTTCAAATCTTCAGCTCTGTTACTTCCTAGCTGTGTGACCTTGGGCATGTCACCTAACCTCTCTGCACATCAGTTTACCCCTCTGTAAAATGCAAATCATAATAGATCCCATCTGGAGGAATTGTCATATGAGAAGCACTGAGAACTGTGCTGGGCACACAGAAAGGCTATACACTTGTTTGCTTTTATTTTTATATCAAGGGGGTGGAGTCACTGACCAGAGGGAAGGGAAGAAGGGGGAGGGGCTGGGAAAGGGCTTTCCTTCTTAGCTCCTACCTCTCAGAGAGTCACCCATGAAGGTCTCTGTTTGATTCTTGACAAACGAGGCCACAGAGTCCAGTTTGGCTGTCCCTGGGGGCGACAGGGGAGGAGGGTTCCAATAGGTCCCCCAGAGAGCAAAGTGACCCCTTCCCCTGTTCTCCTCTAGACATGACCCAGCCCAGGAGGCAGTGGTTCCCAAAGCATCTGTCTCTCACGTCAGCCTCGGGCAGCCCCTCACTTCTCCCCTCCCCAGCACGCACCCACTTTCCCCACAAACGCGTTCACAGCGTAGTCACGGAAGAAAGGCCCCTCCATGCCCAGTAGCAGAGCCTGAGCACGGGCCTGCAGCTGCTCGTGGTGGAAGCGCCCGGGAACCAGAGTGAAGCGCAGGTGGCTCAGGGCCTCCTGCACCGAGGGGATGCATTGCAAGCAGCTCCGGCCTCCACGGGCGCTCAGGCCCAACAACAGCAGAAGCGCCAAGGCTAGAGACATGGCAGGGCCTTCGTGACGTCACAGAGGGAGGGGCTGGGCCACGCCTCAGGAGGGGCGTGGCCAAGGGAGCCCAGGGAGGATCGCTAAGTGTTTGCTGAACACCTACTATGTGCCAAGCCCTGTTGGAGACACCAGGGATAGGGCTGAGAAAAACAGAAAGGGTCCCTGCCCTCAAGGAGTTTACATTCATTCATTTGATACTTACTATGTGCAGCACCTACTATGTGCCAGGTGACGTTCTAGGTGCTAGGCCTGTTGTTGGCTAAGGTGGAGTCAATTCCGACTCATGGCCACCCCATGTGTTACAGAGTAGGACTTCTTCATAGGGTTTTCTTGGCTGTAATCTTTTTTTAAGTTTTCTTATTGTGCTTTAGGTGAAAGTTTACAGTGCAAATTAGCTTCTCATTCAAAAATTTATACACTGTTTTTTTGACATTGATTGCAATTCCCGCAAAGTGTCAGGACTCTCCCCCTTTGCCTTTTCACCCCAGGTCCCCGTGTCCGTTCGTCCACTTTGCCTGTCCCTTCCTGCCTTCTCATCTTTGTTTTTGCGCAGGTATATATGAGACCATTTGGTCTCATATAACTGATTGAAATAAGAAGCACGTTCCTCACGTGTTACTCTTTGTTTTATAGGCCTGTCTAATTTTTGGCTGAAAGGTGGATTTTGGGAGTCTGGGTTAGCAGTGTGTCCAGGGGCCATAGTCTCCGGGGTTTCTCCAATCTCTGCCAGACTAGTAAGTCTGAGTTTTTTTGTGTGAATTTGAATTTTGTTCTACATTGTTCTCCTGCTCTGTCCAGGCCCCTCTGTTGTGATCCCTGTTAGAGCGCTTGGTGGTGGTAGCCAGGCACCATCTGTTCTTCTGGGCTCAGGCTGGTGGAGACTGGTTCATGTGGTCCATTAGTCCTTTGGACTAATATTTTCCTTGTGTCTTTGGTTTTCTTCATTCTCCTTTGCTTGGGACAGAATGGGACCAATAGATGTATCTTAGATGGCTGTTCACAAGCTTTTAAGACCCCAGATGCTACTCACCAAAGTAGGATGTAGGACATTTTCTTTATGAACTATGTTATGCCAATTGACCTAGAGATCCCCCTAAGACCATGGTCCCCAGCTCTTAGCCCCAGGAACTCAGTCCATCAAGGTGTTTGTATGTGTCTAAGAAGCTTCTATGACTTTACCTTGGTGAAGTTGTGCTGACTTCCCCTATATTGGGTATTGTCTTTACCTTCACCAAAGTTAACACTTGCCTACTGTCTAGTTAGTGATTTCCCCTCCCCACCCCTCCCTTCCCTCGTAACCATCTGTAAGGGATTGAATTGTGTCCCCCCAAAATACGTGTCAACTTGGTCAGGCCACGATTCCCAGTATTGTGTGATTATCCATCATTTTGTCATCTGATAAGATTTTCCTTTGTGTTGTAAATCCTATCACTATGATGTTAATGAGATGGATTAGTGGCAGTTATGTTGATGAGATATACAAGGTTAGATTGTGTCTTAAAATCATCTCTTTTGAGATATAAAAGAGAGAAATGAGCAGAGAGACAGGGGGACCTCATACCATCAAGAAAGTAGTGCCGGGAGAAGAACTCGTCCTTTGGACCCAGGGTTACTGGGCAGAGACGCTCCTAATCCAGGGGCAGATTGATGAGAAGGACCTTCCTCCAGAGCTGACAGAGAGAAAACCTCCCCCTGGAGCTGACGCCCTGAATTTGGACTTCTAGCCTCCCAGACTGTGAGAGAATAAACCTCTGTTTGTTGAAGCCATCCACTTGTGGTAGTTCTGTTATAGCAGTACTAGATCACCAAGACACCATCAAAGATTGTTTTTTTCTTTGTGGGAACTTTTTATCGGATTTTCATAATAGTCGTCTTGTACAATTTTTGTCCTTTCGTGATTGACTTATTTTACTCAGCATAATGTCCTCCAGATTTATCCATACTGTGAGATGTTTCATGAATTCATCATTGTTCTTTAACCTTGAGTAGTATTCCATTGTGTGTATGTACCATAGTTTATCCGTTCATCTGTTGATGGGCACTTAGGTTGTTTCCATCTTTTTGCTATTGTGAGTAATGCTGCAATGAACATGGATGTGTTGGCTATAATCTTAACAGAAGCATATTGCCAGGCCTTTCTTTCTTGGTACTGCTGGGTGGATTCGAACTGCCCACCTTTAGGTTAACAGTCAAGCACAAACCATTTGCGCCCCTGTCTTAGTTACCTAGTGCCGCTATAAGAGAAATACCACAAGCGGGTGGCTTAGCAAACAAATTTATTTTCTCACAGTTTAGAAGGCTAGATGTCTGAATTCAGAGCACGGGCTCTAAGAGAAGGCTTTCTCTCTCTGTTGGCTGTGGAGGAAGGTCCTTGTCTCTTTCAAGCTTCTGTTCCTGGGTCGCTTAGTGATCTTCATGTGGCCTGGCAGCTATCTTCCCCTATCTCTGCCGCCTTCTCTGTACCTATCAGCTTGTTTTATATCTCAAAGGTGACTGGCTTACGCCACACGGTATGCTGATATGGCCTTATTAACATAATTTAAAAAAAAAACTTTATTCCTAAATGGGATTACATCCACAAGTATAGGGGTTAGGATTCCAACATATACTTTTGGGGAACACAATTCAATTCATAACAGCCACCTGGGGTCACTGTGCCAGGATTAGAGGCTGAGGAAAAAACATGGGGTTCCTGTTCTTTTGGCATTTAAATCTATTAATTCAACAAATATTTATTGAGCACCTACTATGTGCCAGCCGATTAGGATAGATGGAATAGGACGGGCACAGTCCCTGTTGATGGGATTCAGTCTAGAGAAGGTGGGAGGGAGTAGGGGTGGGGAAGAAATGTACAAACTGGTAAACAGATTAGTAAATAAAATAATGGCAAACTGCATTAATTGCTGGGAGGCAGATACCAGAAACCCAGTACCACTGAGTTGATTCTGACTCAGAAACCCTATTGGACAGAGCAGAACTGCCTCATAAGGTTTCCCAGTCTGTAATCTTTCTCCCATGGAGTAGTTGGTGGATTCAAACTGCTGACCTTTCAGTTCGCAGCGAAGCACTTAACCACTGTGCTACCAGGGCTCGAGGGAAATAAGCAAGCAATGTGATACGGCAAGAGAGTTACTGGCATGCTAGGAGTCCTGGGTGGAGAGAACGGTTAGCACATTGGCTACTAACTGAAAGGTTGGAGGTTTGAATCCACCCAGAGGTGCCTCAGAAGAAAGACCTGGCAATCTACTTCAGCGAGATCACAGCCATTTAAAACCTTATGGAGCGCAGTTCTACTCTGGCACACGTGGGGTGGCTATAAGTAGGAATCAACTCTACAGTAACCAAACCGAAACCAAACCTGTTACCCTCCAGTTGATTCCAGCTCATGGCAACCCCATGTGTTACAGAGTAGAACTAATCCAGCGGGTTTTCTTGGCTGTAATCTTTACAGGGAGCCCTGGTGGTGCAGTGATTAAGTAAGTGCTCAGGCTGCTAACCAAAAGGTCGGCAGTTCAAATCCACCAACCCCTACTTGGAAACCCTGTGGGGCAGTTCTACTGTGTCCCTTAGGGTCGCTATGAGTCAGAATCTACTCGACTGCAACAGGTTTCGGTTTTTAAAATCTTTACAGAAGTAGATCGCCAGGCCTTTCTCCTGCGGTACCGCCGAGTGGGTTCCAACCATCAACTTTTAGGTTAGTAAACCAAAATCAAACCAAACCCACTATGATTCCGACTCATAGTGACCCCAGAGGGGTTCTTAAGCTGTAAATCTCTACAGAAGCAGACTGCCACATCTTTCTCCCGTAGAGCCGCTGATGGTTTTAAACCACCGACCTTTTGGTTAGCAGTCGATCACTTTAAACACTGCGCCACCAGGGCTCCTTCGAATTAAAATATATATCTCATAGTGACCCTACAGGACAGGGGCTGCCCCATAGGTTTTCCAGGGAGCAGCTGATGGATTCAAACTACTGGCCTTTTGGTTAGTAGCCAAGTTCTAAACCACTACGCCAACAGGGAGCCGTTTAGATTAGTAGTCAAGTGCAAACTGTGCCACCCAGCCGGAGGAAGAATCTGTCAGGGTGTAATGGGGCCATTAGACCACAAGGGGGTGCTCACACCCGAGTGAAATTCTCTCACCCACCTGAGAGCGTTTTCTGCCTTGGCGTCTAGCTGCCAATGCTCATTTCCCAGGATTCGCCAGTTATAATTCTAGCTAATGTGGTGAAAGCTATAATTTGAGATATTAAGCTGCATGTCCTTTTCCTCTTCCTCCATTCCCCATTCGGCAGGGAGTCAAGGGGCTGATATTTCTCCTAAGAAGGAATTCTCAGAATGGATGGAAAACAAAGACTGCGCATTCCTCAGCTTCTAAACCCCAAAGCCTCAGGTTTGGGTGGGAGGCAGGAAGAATTAGGAAGCAGAACCAGTTTTCTTTCTCTGATGCAGTCTGTCCAAGAGCAGTTTGGCAACGTTGAGTTAAATTAAGTATCCACAGACTTCACCACCCAGCACTTGCCCTCTCCTGGTACAGAAGGTGAAGAAATTCTCACAGTAGCCCATCAAGGAGGAAGATGTTCATCACAGTGTTGTTTACGGTGGTGGGAAGTCACAGGCAACCTGGGTGTGCATCAATGGGAAGGTGGGGGTGCTTGAGAGTACCCACAAGGCCCTGCTTGTGTGCTGTCGAGTTGATTCTGACTCATAGTGACCCCGTGTAACAGAGTGGAACTGCCCCATAGGGTTTCCGAGGCTGTAATCTTTTTTTTTAAATGCCTTTCTTTGTCTTTTATGGTGGATTTCTTTTTAAAATCTATTTTATCTGAGATTAGTATTGCCACTCCTGCCTTTTTTTGGTAGCTATTTGCTTGATATATTTTTTTCCATCCTTTGATTTTTAATAAATTTACATCTTTGTTTCTAAGGTATGTCCCTTGCAGACAGCATATTGATAGATTCTGTTTTTTATCCATTCCGTCACTCCTAGGCTGTAAT